TTAATAATAAGAAAGTGAAGAGCATTACAATGGGGTGATAAAATTCCACACGCTATTTTGCTGTTTATCACGTGAATTTGGATGGGTATTCTCTCTCTGTAAAAGATGGAATGTGTTCAACAGTCAGACTACGGATGTATGTGTATCTAGATACTTTTAGTGATATTGTATAGTTGACGCGGGGTCGCATTTCGTGCACTAGAGTCTGGGAAGCTGCATACAAGAGAGTACACTGAAATGTTTGTCGCACGTAGTCACAGCATAAGTGTGTTTTGTGATACAGAAATCAATGATTAAGTGGGTTGAGGCGAGCACAGTCAAAGCGGAAGAATCCACAGAAACTGTTCTATAGGGGCATGGAACAACCACATCCGCTGCTGGCATCTACAGTTGTGTGATCTCATCTTGACTGTCGAATATAACAAGATTTTAGTCCGACAGTCCCACTGAATTACGGATTTTTTAGTTGTGTGAAAACTGACGCACAAACTGATATTGATCTGTCTCTCACAGAACTTCCCTTAGCTAACGTCCTATCACGTGATGCTTTATTTCTATTAATCACTTTGCTTCTCATTCCTCCCGCCGACAATGTGTCTGTTTGTTTTTATGGCTTCTTCAGACATCCTAATTATCACTGTACAGCGAAATGTCGCGAAGGGAATTCCACTGATCTCTGCCAATCTCGCAATGCATACAAAGTTCGCAGTAATATGTAAGGTGGATAGAGATTGAACCTAATTTGACAGAGGAGGAAGAAAGTTAACCTCTATGGTCACTTCACGAGGTACATCTAACTGTGCATACGCACCGTTTCAAGCCTTCTGGCCTAAGAATAAATGACAACAGGAACGTCACTGCTGTCCGTTCGAGTTGACAAGCGCTTCGCTCACGCACTAGCGCCCTGACTCAACTTGCTCAAACTGCTGGAGCAGACAGGTGATGATGAGCTTGTCTGGTCATACTCGAGGCAGGTTCATATGAGGGTATGAAAACCCTGACCAGGGGACTGGGACATGAAAATCGCTTTAGGTGCCCCGGTTCAAGATCTCGAGATCAGCGTAATCGATGACTAGAGACACTGGGGGAAGCTGAAAGCCTAAGTAAAACTCGCTAAAACTTCAATACAATATGATGGAGTGTCTTAGGCAGTGGCCTTCATGCATCTACTGAAAATCCTTGTAAACTTCTTCATGAGTTCTCTATCCTCGCATTGATATTGCTTCCAACATTCAAATATTCCCCCTACTCTTACATCCAAATGGGTAGTCAGAAAGCAGTAAGCAAAACCACCCCATAAAGTACATGGTTAGTGGTTGGAGAAACGGAAACGGAAACTCCCAAGACAAGACAAAAGAAGCCATCCGAATCCATCACACGAGAAGTCCGCATGATCGAAATACAACATCTTGGCCCCCATTATTCCCATAGGCAATTGGCGATCTGAATCTACAAGTGTCATCATCACATTTAACGCATAATTTCGGCGCTACCACACTCTTCTTGCTACGATAGACTTTTTTATGAACCAAACACTCCATTCATCTAACTGTGATAGCTGGAATTTGAAATAGCCGTTTGAGTTAACCATCGTCTGATGCAAATGTATTCCCTATACAACACAACGGGGGAAGGTGAAATTGCTTATGTGACTCAATTAAAAACTGATTTGTACAGCTTGGAATACAAATTCTATCTCGGGATTGGGCACAGGTGAGATTAGTCAACGGAGAAGGCAAAGCTGTTGGTGCTTGTCTCGACTCAGTAAAATTAATTTTTATTCATCTAAACTGTTGAGACTGTTAGATATGAAATTTGATGATACGCGGTGCGACAACGCACCTAGACAGCATTTGTCCACTGCATTCCCAGAATTGAAAATATGATACGCTTGGCAGATATTTCGCACCTTTACTGTTTTAATGCTGCTTTTGAAAGTGTTACCGTTGAAACCACCATCACCAGGAGACTGCACCTTGACGTGGTATAATGGCTTGTT